CAGAGGTTAAGAACGTAAGGACCTGCACCTCCATTTCCCCATACATCTTCATGACGTGGTGTTTAGTTAAGCACAGAAATATATGTACATATTTGCTGGACTAACCTTATGTGTTAAGAGGAAACGGAAGAAGATTAAAGTTTAGAAACCGGAGTATTAATAATCTAATTATAATTTTCACAAACTCGAGCCGAAGGGGGCGAAAATTTCTTTCAAATTTCAAATATATTCCCCTCATTGAAGTTTCCGTTCTGTTTTCATTTTGCGATATTTCAATTGCATACTACATTATACTCAACTCGTATATAGAATGAAATCGGGTTACGAAAAAAAATTATCACACCAACATCATTAACTGAGTCTACAGTTTTTAAGCTCCTAAGTAATTAATTTTATCACTTTCCTTATTACTTTCTCTTTCTTAAGTCCTTCCAGTTGTTCTTAGTACTTCTTTCTAAAACTTTCTTATCCGCTCTTAATTTCGACCTGAATATAATTTCGGAAGGATATTTGGTGAAAAGGCCGGTCACGGTAGCAGAACGGTCTAAGGCATGCACTGTCTTCGCTCGCTCGGAAGCCGGGATCGTGGGTTAGAATCCTACTCAGGACATGGATGTTTAGTTTGCGTACAAGTAGAGGCCTTGCGACGAGCTGATCACCCGCCCAAGGAGTCCTACCGAATGTGTAGGATCTAGAAAATCCGAAGTGAACGGAGAAGTTCATGGAGGTAGGCCTAGGCCCACTGAGGCTCTAGAACCAAGGAAAAATTAGAAAAAAAAATGGTGAAAAAGAGTTGTGGGAGGGAGGGGGCCCCCTTGCTTTATATCCTGATTTTTTCTCCCTCGTTCTCTGCTGCTGTCTTCAGGCATTCCGCCCTTTTGTCTCGTGGTTATGGGATAGGTTATCGGTCCGGTATGGGTGGCAATGTACAGAACACTCTCTATAGAAACTTTGCGAGAGCTAGAAACCGGGACGGTGCACTGTATGCAAGTTAAAATATCCCATATCTGCTTCAGGATATCACTCATTATGTTCCTGGATAGAATCTATTCTTCTGGAGCAATGTTTGATACCCCTCAAAATATGTAAACGATAACTCTACCTAATTTAGTGACACAGGAATAAATTACAATAGTCTAAATTCGCCATAGTGACCGGGGCACGCTGTAGAGAAGCTGGTTGAGACACTGTGCTACAAGAGGGAAGGACTCGGTTTCGATTCCAAGTGAGGTCACTGGAATTTCAATTGACCTTCCAGCAGCACTATGGCCCTGGGTTCTACTCAGACTCTAACAGAAATGAGTATCAAGAAGCTTCTTGGAGGTAAATACAGCCGTCGCTTAAGGCTGTGAACCTCACCACCATCTGTGAGTCGTTTATCTAGAAAATGTGAGAGACTCGACGTCTCACAACCCCATGTGTCTGCACGGCCTGTTACAGGGATACCTTTACTTTATTACGCCATGGTAACTTTTAACATTTCTGGATGGTTTTATTAAATTGAATACTCGTAGGCCAATTCGTAGGCCTCATGTGGTTGCTTTACGAAGGTGGAAATTCTGAAAATACATATACACGGTGCCAAATCCCAGAAGACTGCTTTCTTCATGTGTATAGAAACTTACGTATAAACCGCTTAAGGTAGTTGTTACTATTCGGCTTACAGTTTACAGGGAGAAAAATGTATAGCTTTTAATTTTTATTGTATTTGATAAATTACCTTCTTCAGTCTTGATATCTGAAAAATCCGAACATCAGATGCTTAGCTTGTATCCTGTGCAGGCGTCCATGAGTTTACTCTATATGATGTAAGAGGCTACATCACACATAATCTGCAACTGAGAGGTGCTCTACTAATCAAGAAATTCTCCACCTTATTTGGAATCAGAATATTCTTTGCCGGGGTTCACAAAGTCGTGTCCTGGAACTTACACTGTCATGATCTGAACTAATCTGGTCCACACTGCCGTTACACGAATTCAGGACAATGATTTGAAAGTTAAGAATTCAACCAATTCAATAATATGTTGAACTTTAATTTTCAAACCTGTACTTCTTTCTTTCTTATTATTGTATTGTATCATCCGGTTGCACATCACTTACTTTAAAATCTCGTCTCTATCACTGACGTATGCACACTACACGTTTCGACCAAAATTGGACATCTTCAGGTGTGTCTACAATTGCTGATGGAACTGTTGTACGTACTTCCGTCCATGTGTTCACTTTTAGGGATATGGTTTCGTCTATGCACCGATATGCCCTCTGATGATGCGTAGTTCCTTTTATTGCGTTATTTATAGCTGTTATTATGAAGATGAGCTGTGTTGGTCGAAACATGCAGTGTGCATACAGCGCTGTTATAGCAGAAATCTTAAAGTTTAAAAATTTTAAAGGTTTTAAAAAGTAAACTATCTGTAAGACAACTATTATTACTATTATTATTATTATTATTATTATTATTATTATTATTATTTTTATTGGAGGGGGTGGGTTTCCCACATGCACCGCGACTAGTAGTCTATTGTACGTCCCCCTTTGATGTTCTACCAGTCTCTATACACTACCGGTACTGGTGCGTGCCATCAGCCCCGACTTAGCCAGCGAGTTTGGCCTCTACTGGCTCAGCGGTACCTGATGCTTCCCCCATCTACCACAGGCGTTAGAGACTCTTGTTGAGCAGGAAATGTCCGATAATTTGGCTCAGAGGCCTCCTTGAGGCATGAGGTTCTTTTACGTGCCGTAAAACTACGACACGGGACCAACGGCTTAAAGTTCCTCCCGGTGGACTTGTTCACTGAATTTTTCCGCCCTTAAAAATTCCACGACCTCCGCCGGGTTTGAACCCGCTTACCACGAGTCATGAGGTGGGAACGTTACCTCTAGACTACGGAGGCCGCTGTAAGACAACTAAATAGCAGATATAACTTCCGGATATTTTCCTTAGCACAATTTAGAATTATCCCCAAAATCCGAGACCAGACAATGTAATCATACAAAGAGGAACAGGATTTCGGTCATACTCGTTTCATAAATCACCGTAGCCTTAGAGTGTACGAGGATAACTGGACCCTGAGCTGTGACTCTGTTGGGACTGAATCCAGTCTAACGCATGCGCAGTGAATAATATCTGTATTGTAACCGTCAAATCAGAGGTCCTCGCCTTGCTATAAGCATATGAATACACTGGACAATAATATTCATACAATAAAATGTGCTTACAAGGTTTCGCAATACTGTTACAGCTACACAACAACAGATTCAGAGCGATTGCGCAACAGTACCATTATCTGAATCACATGCATATGAATTGCTATTCAACATGGCTTCTGTGTTTAGATTGAGTTCAAACTGAGCTATGATTCTCTTCAGTACACTAGCAGAGGTAAGGGGCGTAATGCTATTAAGTATCAAAACCGGTTTGTGATTGATAATCCAACTAATTAATTGTCTGCAGAACAAGATCTTCATGTTTCCCTTTGTTGGTATAATTGAAAGGGTAACTGGCAGTATTTGGAACTAAGCTTGGGGTAATTGTATGTGCGAAGACGGAGAGCGGGAAACAGTTAAGCTGACTTGCTTAATTTCCTTCAGATTATTTAACAGTAGGAAACGCGGCCTTATAAATATCAACTCTCTTTTGGAGTTGAGCATCTCAGGGCGGTAACTATGAAGCATAGGATCTTCTGGGTTATGACGTCGTGTAGTTCGGATTAAGCTCTAATTAGTGCCTGCTTCTGCTAGTTTGTTGCTTGTTTTACTTTTAGACTGGGAAGATGGAAGCGATATGTTCCTTCGAATCGTCGAGCGAGCTCTATCCGAACTACCCTGTCCTAAAACACATATCTGTTTAATAACCAAGATATCCAGTGTGTCCCAGAAGGAAAGGTCATTATATCAGTTATTCTAAGCAAAAATTATATATATGCATGTGTCCTATTGGGAACGATTTCACTGTACAGTAGTTTGAATTTGGCTCCCAATATGTCCTTCCCTCCCGCATGTGAATCTGTGTGAAGCGTCAGTTGGCCGTTGTGACTGTTGATAGTGACATTGTAAGAGTGTCGTGAAAAATGCTGCACATCTTCACAAATGTCAAATATGCTGATATGCCATCCTCATACGGGTTGCGAAGTGCACTGGTGTTGAAAGTGTAATTTTCGAAAATGTATTATACTAGGTAAACTGTATCAACTTTGTAACTTGAACAATAAATACCAAGTCCAAGTCACATTGCGACTGAAGGTCATTCAGTCAGTAAGTCTTGGTGTCGATCCCCATCTGGGTCTCATGACCAGATATTTATTACTGTTTGGCATTTACGGTCTTGTTTTTGTGGGGCGCCCTCTCTGATTAGAGGGCGGGTCTGCTTTTTGTATCTGCTACTGGTCCTTGCCAGCGCAGTCTTTCTCGGGTCCGAGTCTCTTGGGACTCGCGACCATATCTTACTGTCTCAGATTTGAGACTTCCCTTTTCGTCGCCTCCTGCGATTCGCAGAGTCACGGTGGAGGTATTCGACCCCGCCTCCACACGGGGAGTGAACACTCAATACTGAATACTGAATACTCTCGTGCCAATAAATACCGGTATTAGAAATAGTATGTAATATCTCTTTCATATGAACAGTTTTGAAACTGTACAGTGAAATAGCTGTTATCTCTGTTGTTTATAATGACCGAACTTTCGGCATGAGGCACTCTGTATAGTATCAGATTTTGAGGTTCCGACGTCTGGGTTGTGGCGCCGTATGTGGATTGTTAATTATATGTGGTAATAAAACTGAATTCAAAATGAAAAATAAGAAGGCATATTGCAGTAACACTCTAAATACATACAACTGACAAAGAGACTGTAAAATCTCAAATTCAAAAGGACGTGACAGAATCAACTTTAACAAATCTAAAAAATTAGAAAAGAATTTTTGGTTTATAGCTTTATAATTCAAGGAGAAGGAGAAGGACAACGAGAATAAGGCTCCAAAATATTACATAAAATGAGTCTCACATTTTCACTTTTTATTTTTGTCCAATGAAGTGCATCACAATTGAAATTTCTCATTGAAGTTTTGGGTTCTCATAATGGTGAGCACATACCTGAAGATCATTGTATTCTATGATTTGACGCTGTGCAGAGTGGTAGGTAGCTACTAACACTTTCGACGGACCTTCTGCATCCATCTTCAGGTCACAATTCTTCTACCCTGAAGATGGAGGCAGGAGGTTCCTCTGAAATACTGGTAAATATTTACACAGAATATGAGATGGTTGGTGTAGAGGTAACGCTTTAGCGTTTTATTCTGGAGGTGTTGTGTTTGAATCTTGGTCGAAATACAGGGTACTGTGAATCAGATTTCTCATGGCTTTTCATAGTATCCCGAAGAAAATACCGGCATAATACCTCAAGTAGGCCATGATCGTTTCTTGAACCTGGCAGCGACGGAAGGAAACACAGAGAACATAGCGCAACGCCCGAGGAAAGACTAATCTTCGAGGTGAAGATAGCTGAACTGTTACGGTACCGCAGAATTCTCTATAATGCTGTACAGCCCGGGGAAAACATCTACTGCCTCTTCAGGAAGGAAGAGTAAGCCAAGGTAGCAGAGCTCTGCTTACTATGTACTTCATGTTGTTTCCTTGATGGCTTACTTTTTACCCTGAAGATGGAGTCATTATATTCCTCCGAAACGTCTATTGTTTCTAAACACACTACACAGTGTTATATCCCAGAAGATAGAACCGCTGTGAGAACCTCAAATTCAACATTTTTATTGTACTGACTGGTATCACTGGACGGGTTTCCTTTCTTAGTCTAAGGACAGTCTCCTGAAGGATCCTTGGAAGCCAAACAACTCGCCAGTGTCAATGCTTTTCCCTGGACGTTTCGACTCGTCGGACTTTAGATTCTCTTGTTGTAGAAACCAGTCTCGATTGGATTCCAATCTTTTCACCCAAAGGGCTGTAAGAAAATGNACAAAAAAAAAAAAAAATATTGTCCAATATTCATTACTGCAGAAGACTATGACTAAGGCAAATGATACATGACTTTTCTAGCAATGTCGTTGAAAGGCGAACGTATATGCCATGTTTTCTTTTTTCGCTTAGTGGGGGGTGGAGTCCAGTTCGATCCACTCGGCACGGCTGCCACTGGTTGGCCTATTGTACCTACCCCGGATGATTATGATGATAGAGAATTTGGTGGAATGAAGATTGTCAAGGGAGACCGAAGCACTCGGAGAAAACCCGCGCCAGCGCCACTTTGTCCATCACAAATCCCACTTGACCAGACCCGGGTTTGATCCCGGACCGCCGCGGTAGGAAGCCAGCGACTAACCGCTTGAGCTATGGCGCGACCTACATGCCATTGGTTGGTCCGACTTCGCGAGAGGATCGTCCGACTCTTCCCTCTGAATCTGCACTCACAGAAGAACTCACTGTCGCTAAATTGCGGTGTAACAGCTAGAGACTAATGGCAGTGGGTCGGGATAGTATCCAGTTAATGTCCATGATATAAAGGTTGTCAGTCTTTGGTTTCCAGCACTTTAACGTAAAGACGGACGGATGATAGTGAATATTAAATTCTGAAGGAAGGAGGTGATCTTGAATTGGTTTCATGTTACTTTTATCATAAATTGGGCTGGTTTCAGAGTCCAAAATTGACCGGTGGGATCCAAAACTTAAGTCAGTGATGATTTTGAGATCTGATTTTATTGCTATAATCACTTCGAACAGTGTTGTTGTCTGGGATGTGACGCCGTATAGTTAAATTATCTTTAACGACGATTCAGAAGAATGCACTGATATCCTCTATATTATAGAAAATATGCTTGATGATGGAGGCACTTTGTTCCTCCGAAACATACCAGAGTACACGATGTCACAGCGAATGAGTGTAACGCTTATGGTCATTCTATGCTATAGGAAATAGAAATACAGTGGTTTTGTATGGATGTGAAACTTGGTCTCTGACATTACGGGAAATCTTACTGGAGGTATTTGAGAACAAATTGCTGGGGAGATTGTTTTGACTGAAGGGGGATGAAGTGGTAGGGGGTTGGAGAAAAGAACGATCAGGTCGAGGATGAGATGGTCAGGGCATGGAAGAAAAGTAATGCATGTGTAATTTTTATGGGAGAGCTAGACGGAAAGGAAGATTTATATGTAGGTCATATAATATTACTAAAACGGATCTTAGTGAAATAGGATGGGACAGTATGGACTTGATTTATCTGGCTCAGGATAGGGATCAGCGGCGTACTCTTGTGAGCACGGTAATGAACCTTGAGGTTCCATAAATTGTTGGGAAATTCTTGAATAGCTGCACAACTGGCTGCTTCTCAAGAAGGGCTCAACTCCATGAAGTTAATTAGGAATTAGAAATGGACGGAAATTCTCGGTCACGATAGCTGGCCGCTGGGATGAGAATCAAACCCGAAGCTTCCAGAATACGAAGCAGGTTTACCAAGCACTATACCGATACCGTCAGCTGCGTTTAACTTTCGAGTTATGTCTCCACATTATATGTAGAAATTTGTAATGATAATTAGATATGAACCCCGAACAAGAAAACCTTTTCATTTGCTCGCTGACTTCACAGGAAGTAATAATGTTGGAAATTCATTACATATGCATTATTGTGTTGGGTGGCAGGAAATGTTCACAGTTCCCCACATTGTACATCGTTTCCTGTGGGAATTTATCTACATTTTTTCAAGTACGCTCTTTCCTTATAATAGAAAGAGGATAGATCTAAAACCCAAACTTGTTGAAACCTGGAATATTTTTGAGCTTTGTGATAAAGAGTGGAATTTATTCTTTTAGGGGAATGGAACCCAATTCGTCCAGCTGGCATCAGTTCGAAGTTTTGAAGTCTGAAAAATGTCTTTCTTCTTTCTTTGTACTCACATTCGTAGGATTATAGACACTCAGTCCGTTTTCTCCAATTTTCTAATATCTCAAGTTCTTTGTAACAGTCTTACTTAAATGGCGGTCGGTGTGTGCTGATTGAGAGATGAAAATCAAGTAATTCGGTTCGGCATTGCAATTAACACATTACAGACAACGCGCTAATCTCTGACTATAAACGTAGGAGTAAACTAATTGTCAATAGATTTTCCGTCAAGTGCAACAATGTATATCACAAGCAGCGGCTGTCACTGGATACAGAGAAGAGCGGCCATTTACAATACAGCATATGAGAGGGATTTCTGTACATGTGCGTTTGAAAATATTCACGTTCCTGCTTTGCATATGAGAAATAATCCATCGATGACGTGAATCTCTTGGGGCATTGACTTGCTTAGAACATTTATATGTGTATGTAACGCTACACAGTTTTGTGATTCTTCTCCTGCCATTGACAGGAGGTCCACGTGACACTGTTACTCTTGATACCCCTGAATAAACTTTTCATGTTGTAATTTTAGGTTCATACGTTGGCGACTACGAAGCATATTTTGGCATGTGACGTCACCGACTTTTCTAAAGAATATACTGCCATATTTTCAGTGTTGAATTTCGAGAAGAACAATCAAGGAAGTATCTCGCTTATTCTCTGACCACACAACACGTTCTTTCGAGAAGTCTGTTAACTTATATCAGGCTGCACTGTGTTAAATTCCTAAAAAAGTATTAGTTTTATGTATGTTGTTTCTGCGATATTTGAAGTTCTCATGGCGGTGAGAGTGGTATGTCTATTAGACTTAACGGTGTCACATCCCAGAAGACAATAATCTACGTGTTATTTATGATAATCTTAAAATTATTACATTGAATTTCAAGGCTGGGGCAGGAAACAAGAGTTAGCACTTTCAGGGCCGATGGGTCAGTAACCAATAAGAGCTAATTATGTACTGCACTTACCCCACAGATCAGACATCTGGCCCGCCTCACCTCCATATTCCAGGGGTAGGATTTTTGTGGTAACATGTTGATGCAGTGACTCGGATCCTTTCCTGTGTATGTGAATCTGGAACAAGGAGTGAATTGTGATTGAGCACTGGTCCTCTGACTCAGCCTCCAGATTTACGTATGTTGCCTGGTGTTGGTGTTAAAGAGCATTAGATTGATACTGCAGTTCTTAAGCAACTGGCTAACTCCATGTAGCAGATCTCTGCTTGAGAAGATAACAGTTGCTCAGATAGTCAATTAAAACCATTTTGTTGAACAAGACACTTTCACCCTGTTTACATGAAAATTCCACTGGTCTCTATTCTTGATAATTTAGTCCACAGCCCCATATCCCCCTTCTTTAAGATGAATCTTAATATTATCCTCACTTGTGCATCTGGATCTTCAAAATGGCCTTTTTCTGAAGATTCCCGAACAGAAACATCTGCATTTCCCTCCCATGTGTGCTACACGTCTCGCTTTTATATGCTCCTGTATTTGATCATACTAAAAATATTTTAGCCGGTCACGGCAGCCGAGCGGTCTAAGGCATGAACTGTCTTCGCTCGCTTGGAAACCGGGATCGTGGGTTCGGATCTGTTTCCTGTGAGGTACGAATTGAATTCTTATATATTATTCTTATACACTGCCGGTCACGGTAGCAGAGCGGTCTAAGGCATGTACTGTCTTCGCTCGCTTGGAAACCGGGATTGTGGGTTCGGATCCCACTCAGGGCATGGATGTTTAGTTTGTGTGTGTGCTTTTTTCTGTGTCTGTGTACAGGTAGAGGCCTTGCGACGAGCTGATCACCCGCCCAAGGAGTCCTACCGCATGTCTAAGATCTAGAAAAACAGAAGTGAACGGAGAAGTTCATGGAGGTAGGCCTAGACCCACCGGGGCTGTAGTGCCAAGGAAAATAAATATTAAGCGGAGTACAATCTGTGAAGCTCCTAATTATGCATTTTCCTCTAGATTCTATTTACTGCCGCATTATTCTATTCAAACATCCCCCTCAGCTCGTTGTTTTCATCGTCTCTCTGTCTTCTTCCATTCATATGAAATTTTGGGGCTTTTCAACATTCAACTTTCCACTTAAACCCCCAGCATCATCATACGTACAATCCCGAGGCTGCCATAAATGATAAACCTAGCACCGTTGTGTTTCTATACTTTGTCCATCGTGTCATGTTCCAAAGTAACATAATATTTTGGAAACGGGAACTCCTTCCGTCTTCAGTTGAAATAGCGGGGAGGCAAGCGCTCTGTTGCGTCCGTTATAAAAAGAATATTTCATTCCTCCTCCTAACGGACCCAGTTGTGTGGAAGCCTTTTCACTCTTTCATGTGAGGACGGAAACAGATCGAGCTTCGTAAACGTCGTGTGATTTCAGAATACGAGATAATGGACGATTTCCTGGAACACAATAATGACGAGTGTAATACAAACTGTCAGAAGCATTTAGAACTGATATGAATGTTAATATGTGGAAATAATATGCAGGTATCCATATAATTCGAAATACTTTGAAAATGTACGTAGTGGAAAGTTTTTAATTATCTCACATTTTTAAAACTAACTGATGGAGCTTATAGGAATGGAGTTTTTATAATAATATTGATGTATTCCGGGTAAAAATTCATTTGCCATGGCATTAGTACAGCCCAGTACTTGTTCTGGCGATGCCTTATACATATGTTGACTTCGTACGGATTAGTGTAATATTCCGTCCGTTTAGAAATAAGATTGGGTTCTATATAAATTTTCCAGTCGCGTTGATGCGGTAGTAACAGATGTGTTAATTGCAGTGGTAATTTGTTAACTGATGAAATGTAATTTATTTCAATTCATTTTTAATTTTTCGAAAGTGATTATGGTTTATATATAACTTAGGACAAGGCCCAATACAGGAGAACCAAGCGGCCGTCTCGTGTGTCATATTTTATAATTGTAAAGCTATCCCTCTGCCGGTCACGGTAGCCGAGTGGTCTAAGGTATGTTCTGTCTTCGTTCGCTTGGAAACCGGGATCGTGGGTTCGAATCCCACTCAGGGCATGGATGTTTAGTTTGTGTATGTGCGTTTTTCTGTGTTTGTGTACAGGTAGAGGCCTTGGGACGAGCTGATCACCCGCCCAAGGAGTCCTACCGAATGTGTAAGATCTAGAAAAATCGAAGTGAACGGAGAAGTTCATGGAGGTAGGCCTAAGCCCACTGGGGCTGTAGTGCTAAGGGGGGGGGGAAGCTATCCCTGTAACAGGCCTTGGAGGCACATAGGTTTGTGAGATGTTAAGGCTCCCACATTTTCTAGACTATCGGCTCACAGATGGCGGTGAGGTTGTCAGCCTTATGCGCCGGGCGCCCTTTAACCCCAGTAAGATTCCTGGTACTCATTTCTGTTAGAGGCTGAGTCGACCCCAGGGCCATAGCGCATCTGGAAGGATTAGGTAGATTGAAAAGCCCACCTCATCGGGATTCTATTCCGCGACCTTCCGGCTTGTAGCATAGCGCCTCAACCAACTACGCTGTCCCTTGCCCCCCCCCCATTTTAAAATGGATTTCTTGTTTTTGTTGAATACAAGTTAACTCTTCTGTTCACTTGTTCACACTGCCATCATTAATTGACAATAATGTAAACAGGTTGTGTAACAATGTAAATACCACTGTTTTAAGAATTACAATATTGTCACGTGTATCCGGGGTAACGTGTGGAATTATTTTACCTCACTGTTACAATTACACTCGATTATAACAGTTCGGAAACGACCCTTCCGTTGATGTGAGAACAAACGCTTAGCTAGCCGTTGCTCAACAACCGACTGTTCGAGCTGGTCGTCTCTGATACGTGTATCAACAAGTCGTTACCTATGCAACTGATTCACATGTAACAGTATTAATTACTGTATTTGTCACTGTGACTGGGGAATTTCGTGTAATTAATTCTAACGATATTTTTGTGAATGTTAATCTCTTTCAACCGAAGAAGAGGAGGAATTTCTCATCTCTTTCGAAGGCATTTTGGCTTTCATGGACGTGGTTCTAAGCCAAGAGAACGTAGAACGGATCATTGTAACCAGGATTAGGCAACGTAATCTCTGTTTTAATGTTCTCTGTGAATGCATATCCATAAATTCTCAATAAAAATTATTTGATTAGCAGTGATCATAACGTTTGTATGTCGATCAGAGAAGGCTTATTAATATAAAAATGACGTGTTTTGATATTAGTTTGTGTTACTTACCCTGGCCGCCATTTTCGGTTTCAACAATGATTTCACCATATTTATTGTTGCGTCTAAATAAGCTCCCGCATTTATGATATGGATCGCTTTGACTCGTGAATTGAATCCTCTCTGAAAATGCAATACAATATTTTATATTTAAAGTTACTTAGTCTCAGTTAGTTGCAGGTTCCTTAAATAAATTATGCATACATATGTAAAATAACTACGAGTGAATAACCAACAAACTAACTAATTAACTAACTGATGAGTTTGGTCATTGAGAAAACAGCAGTCGCTGAGTTATTCAAGAATTTCCCAAAATTTTATGGAAATTGAAAGTTCATTACCGTGTTCACAAGAATCTTAGACTGATCTTTATCTTGTGCCAGATTAATCCAGTCTATATCACCACACCCTGTTTCTATAATATTCATTTTAATATTATCCCACAACCTATGTCTAGGTCTTCCTACTGGTCTCTTTTCTTCTGCCTTTTCCACCAAAATCCTGTATGTATTGCGCTACGCTTCTCCTCATACGTGCTACATGCCCTACCCGTCTGATCCTTCTTGAATTTATCACTCGAATTTTATTTGGCAAAAAATGCATGCTGTAAACCTCCTCATGTTTCCTATTGTTTTATAACTATTGGGTCCAGATATTCTACTTAGCACCCCGTTCTCGAACATCAAAGTAAATCAGTAAAATTATATTTAAGCTCCTGTTTCATTAGTATATTCTACACAAAGTATGCTTCCGTCCACAGTGTAACTTATTTATTTCTTCCTCCTTTTCAAGCATTTCACAAAATGTTTCGGCCGTATCATCAGATCTTCTTTTGCCAAAAAATGTTTCACTTTGTTGTATGTCCATAATATTGTATTTAAGCATCCCGCTGCATTGACATACTTACTTACACGTACATACTTACTCATGGAGCTGAGCCCTTCTGGAGGAGCCGCCAATTCTGCAACTACTCAAGAATTTCCCAGAATTTTATGGAATCCGAAGGTTCATTACCGTGATCAAAAGAGCCCTCCACTGGTCCCTCTCCTGAACCAGATCAGTCCAATCAATACCATCCCATCCTATCTCTTTAAGATTCATTTTAGTATTGTCCACCCACCTACGCCTTAGTCTTCCCAGTGGTCTCTTCTGGCTTTCCCACCAATATCCTATACGCATTCATCGTCTCCCCCATTCGTGCTACATGCCCTGCCTACCTCATCCTCCTTGATTTGATCATTCTAATTATACTTGAAGAAGAGTACAAGTTATGAAGCTCCTCATTATGTAGTTTTCTCCAACCTCCTGTCACTTCATCTCTCTTCGGTCCAAATATTCTCTTAAGATCCCTGTTCTCAAGCACTCTCAGTCTATGTTCCTCCCTTAATGTCAGAGACCAAGTTTCACACCCATACAGAACCACAGCCAAAATTATAGTTTTGTATGTTCTAATTTTTGTGTTTTTGGGCAGCAGACGAGAAGACAAAAGGTTCTGGACTGAATGGTAGCAAGCATTACCCGAGTTCAGTCTCCCCTCAAGCTGCATTGATATATTCTTTACAAATTATACTTCCGTCCGCAGTGTGACTTACTTATTTATCCCTCTCCTTTTCACTTATACCGCACAGTGAAATATTTTTTGGCAAAAGAACGCTTATCGATGGCCGAAACATGTTGTGAAATAAGTGAAAAGGCAAAGGAGGAAATACATAATTTGCATTATGGACGAAAATATTATAGTTTGTGAAGTAAATCAATAAATGACTGCATCAATAACAAACAAAAAACAAACAAATTCCGTAGTCTGTAGTCCGCAAGCGAACTATACCGACCGAGGGACCGCCGCTTGTCGGCGAAGTTAGTGCCAACACTTGCAGATAGAAGGTGTCACGTGGTCAGTGCAACGAATCCCTACGGCCGTTAATTTCGGTTTTCTAGACCGGAGCCGCTGTTTCGTTGAAATAGCTCCTAAATTATCATCCCGAGGCTGGAGTTGACCTCGTTCCAGACCCATTATTTCTCATAAAAAATCTGGTAGCGCCGGAAATCGAACCCGGGGCCTCTGGCTCTGTAGCCAGGATTTATTATTTCCCATTGGCGTTTGTTATTTATACTGAGAGTCCTGTCTAGGCAAATTGCTGTTTAGCAGCGTCTATATACTCACAAGGCCACAGACTTCGATCTTCTTCCAAATGGGAATTGTGTACTTTGCAGCATGCCCTAGTGTGAAATTGTTCACATCGAAGATGAAGATGTCAGCCATGTAGTAGTCATCCCTCATCATTAAGTCGAAACTCATGAACAGGAGCCTGACGGCGTCGATAACCGAGTATTTGTCTGGGTCAGGATCCAGTATGGCAGATATTGTGACACGGTCGAATTCTTCAGTCAGCTGGGGCAGTGGTAAGAAGATCCTATCAAGAGATATTTATTCTTTACGAACCAACCCTTTAAAACCCAGGGGTTCTACATGTACCGAATATATTAATATTCATATTCTGCTTACAGAGTGTGTTTGTGTGTTTCCTATGGTTCTCACAATACACAGCGACTGTTTTTTTAACAGAATTAAGAGGCTGATCTTTGTAGCAGAGACATATGTGTTTCCTATGAGGTACGAATTAAAATTGTTTATATTTTAAGGAGAAATTCAATATTTGAAGTGATAATTAGGATTCTTATGTCTACGATTATGGCCCTCTGAGCTGTGATACCTTGTGTTCTTGTAGGCATATACCAAAAAATAAGAAAGTCTTCTTCCTTTAATGTGCCAAAGTTGCACGTCAGTAACATTAAAAACAAATAAGATGACATATATCTGGCTCTGTCTCAAATTTTAAATTGATGACCAGCAGAATTGTGTTTTTTTTTTGGGTCTGATGGTTTAGCTACTTAACCCAGTAGGAGACCCCAGCGAAAACATATGCGAATAAACACACCTGTGTTGGGACAGGTTTTCTAAGAACTCTTGGGTTTATTCCGAATTGAATTTGTGTTACCTTAATAACGGGCTCTCAAGAAATTCTTCCCCATTCTTCGTATTTACCTGACACTCGTTATTTTTCTGAACCATTCCTGAGTCGGGTCTCTGTTGCTGAATATCTCCGGCAGTGCCGTCCTGAGTGTGTAGTACATTTCCAGAACGTCTTTCGCTCGCTCAACGCTCTTCTTACACCGTAAAAATAATCGCTCCAGTTGTCTTTCATCTGGAAGTTGAAGCGGTTTTCAAGTTGCTTGGTTTACAATATTGAGTGGGATGTTCGAAATCGTAAAATATTATCAAAAGGTTTGTGACGGTGGTACAATAATGCAAATATTATGCTTCTGGACATTGTCTATCTTCCTGCTTTATTTATTTAGGAAACCGTCCTGTTTCTGTTTCAAAACACAACGTTTTAGAGACTGGATTTCGTCTCCATCTACAGGTAAAACCCACTCAGTTGAGCCCAATCGATAGAGCTAGACCCTCTCTCCGTAGTCGGAGGCAGAATCCTATTTCCGAAACGTTGTATTTTTAAGTAGAAACAGAACTGCGTTTTAAACAAAACTAGGACGATGAATAATATCCAGAAACATATAATTTGTATTGTGCTGTAAAATATTCTTTGGTATATTTTGATGTTGGACTGTGCACCAATGTAATCCAAAACGTTGCTATCACAGTGCAGTAAATTAAAACACAAATTTGTATTGCGTTGCAATAAATAATATGGAAGAATCATTTTTCTTCCGTTCTGATGATTTTCTCCAGTATATTTAGTGAAATGCAAGTACAGTTGTTAAAGTACGGCGTGAATCCTTCCTTCCATACCCTGTATTCTCTCTTGTTCGACGCCATATAACATACTCTGTTGATAAAACAGCACTAAATGGAGAAACGATGCGAGAAAACTCTGTCAGTAGGTGAATTTGTAGCAGACTTGAATTGCCGGAGTTTGTTTCCTGCCTGCCAAAGGATTATTGTCTCAACCATTAACACCAGGACGTCACTAACCTCTGCCCAGTGGCCGCGCCATAGCTCAAGCTGTTAGTCGCTGGCTTCCCACCGCGGCGGCCCGGGTTCGATCCCGGGCCTGGTCAAGTGGGATTTGTGTTGGACGAAGTGGCGCTGGGGCGGGTTTTCTCCATCATCATAATCACCAGGAGCAGGCTACAATAGGCCAATCAGTGGCCACCGTGCCGAGTGGACCCAGTTGGACTCTACCTCCCCACTAAGCTAATTAATTAAAAAAAAAAGACTCTGCTAAGCCTCCAAGCCAACGGGGCACCTTTGATTCCTCCTGCTGTGGTACACCGGACAAAGCATATAATCAAGCACTCCCGGATCTAGTGCCTAGGTGAATCACAAGAGAACCTATATATTTAGAAGTTAAAATGAACTAACAGAGGATAGAAGTGCGGTTGAATAGCAGAGATTTCAATGCCCGGATAGGTTTAAAACATAGTTCGGTGACAAAACTTTCGTCATCTCATCTGTGTTCTTGTTCAGTTTTGTTGTTCAGTGACATTAAAGTGCAGGTACTGAAATAAAGTTACTGGACTTATCTGATTGACACTTAGAAAGATTAGGTACGTGTTTCTGTGACACGGAGGCGTTTAATCTGTCGGAACGACCGTTGTATGAGTTTTGACAGTTAACTCCATATATTGCATATTTGTTTGTCCATTCACTATAATGCCATGAATAAAGATTTAACCTTGAAACCACGGGAGGGGGGCACTATGCTACAAGCCGGAAGGTTGCAGGTTCAAGTTCCGATGAGGACATTGAATTTTTTTCAGTTGACCTAATCCTTCCGGCCGCACTATGGCCCTGGGGTCCACTCAGCCTCTAGCAGAAATGAGTATCAGGAATATTTTTGGAATGTTCTTGGGGCTGAAGCGTGACCGGCGCGTAGGGCTGACAACCTTGCCTCCATCTTCAGGATAAGATTACACACTTACTTTTTACCATGGAAATGGACGTAAGATGTTCTTAAGAAGCGCCGGAAAGCTGATACAAGACTAAAATTCGTCACACATCCCAGAAGACACTAAGCTTTGCAGTCTCCTCCATAAAAACCTCAAGTACTAAGCATGTTATTTAGATTAATGTGCGAATGTAAAGTTCTGTGCAGTGAGTTTAATCCTGCCAGAAATCTGAAAAAACCTGCGTTATTTTCCTCTGAGGCTCTTATTTAAACCTCCACTTTTGGGTTCCACGTGGAAAAAGATGAACATCGAAATTTATTTTGAAAAATTCGTAACTGACATGTTTTTGAACCCCAGCGATTAATCGATTTATTTTACGAGGATGTGTTCTTACCATATTGATGTGGTAAGTGGGGCTGTTGCTGCAACCAATCTTTGATTGCATCCACTGCTCTCCTGATCTTCTTCTCATCCAAACCAGCTTTTGCACGGACACCATCAATTATTGCGTTACTTACTGTTTCCATGGTATCTAAACAACCAGTCCGGTTTATGAATAAAATCAGAAAATTGAGCTAGAAATTTGTTTATTTCTAACGAAAATCGTAATTTCTTTGAGATATAGCCTGTTTTAATAAATATTTATATATTCAATCTTTTTACCAAAAGACAGGATAATCAGCTTCATTAATTAACCCTCCATATTTTGGTTTTGTAGCATTCCTTTACAAGGACTTGCTCTTCTAGTATGTTATTTTAATTTTTAACAAGATTGTTAAATAAATCTTCTGTTAATTTTTCTCGTCAGTCAAACAAATTTACTTCTTTTTAACATATAAATTTTGAGTTACCATAAGTTTATACTAAGAGAAAAAGCATATTTTGATTAATGTTCAGCTTCGAAAAACCTAATATAAGGGACAGTAAATAAATAGGTCACAAATTGATATAAAACGTAAAACTTGTGTTATTCGAACCTGTAGAAAACATTTATTTCTCGACATATCCTCCACTAACACTGATGCACTTGCCCCATTGCATTATCAGTGTGTCGAAACCCGCAGAATAGAAGTTGTTTGACTGCTGTTTCAGCCACTTCCTCACCTCCGTTTCAACCTTTTCATTAGCAGCGAAATTTTGTCACGTTTCTCGACCAGTTATAAAACTTTTTACGCAACAAACACTTCCCACCGTAAACAGGGAGCATTTATTTATTAATATCTTTCGCATTGAGTCATTTTGCCCACAGAACACACACACAACAGAACACCGCTCTTGAGCAGTACACTCCTCACGCATGGTAGCCATTTTGACTACTGAAACCAGCCTCTGAATACGGACATGCGCGTCTGCTACCTAGACTGTCATGAAGCTGGACTGTGCTGCTATCTAATGACACACATTCAAAATCTTTTACATCAATTACAGCTGTTTTACTTCCACTTGTGACCTATTTGCTGACTCTCCCTCGTATGAACATACGCTGAAAAGAAAACTAAGGGCATGCAATGAATAACTAAATTTGAACATATACAAATTAAAAAAATATGTAGATATATACTGAAGAACAGAATCTGGACATACACGGAAAATCTAGTTCTCTACATACTCCGAATATCAGAAAATTCTTCGCACTTCTAACGACAGACTTTTTTCCACGATATAAGAATCGCCTTGTTACCGAAAGACTGGCTGGTGGAAGATGAATCTTTTTCTTATAAGATTTCATTTCCTCCATAAGTGGCTCTATAATGGAAGGGGCGGAAGAACGGAAGGAGTAATCATATTTGGAGGATTGTAATGATATGTAAGTCCTTAAGAAAGCAAATTATGTCTCTAGAGTGAAGCAATTTCAAATAAATTTACGTGAATACAAATTGCAATGGAATAGGTAACAACAGACTCTGGAGCATCATTGTATGCAAAGTTTGATTGCCTCATATTCGTTGTAGCACGCGAAGGTTCCGCGTAGTGGCCTAGCCGAACGACTAGTTGATGACGTATATAATAAAATGTACCGGAAATGACAAACACGAGTATAGGCAGGTTATCTGACAGTGCTCAAAACGAAATCTTGCGTTTTTGCTAAGTAATATACTCGTATATCCCAAACTTGGGCTTCTCCAGGAAATTAATAGTCATATCATGACCCTAAATGTGACACAGTGTAGTCTGGCAGATTAATTTTCTTATTTATTTTTGATGAGGAGCTTCATAACTTGTACTCTTCTCCAAGTATAATTAGAATGCTATCAAGTCAAGGAGGATGAGGTGGGTAGGGCATGTAGCATGAATGGTGGAGAAGAAGAATGCATATAGGGTATTGGTAGGAAAGCCAGAAGGAAAGATACTACTAGGAAGACGAAGACGTAGGTTGGTGAATAATATTAAAATGGATCTTAGAGAGATAGAATGAGGTGGTATAGACTTGATCGATCTGGCTGAAGATAGAGACCAGTGGAGGGCTCTTGTGAACACGGTAATGAACCTTCGGCTTCCATAAAATGCTGGGAAATTCTTGAGTAGCTGCAGATTTTGCTTCTCCTCAAGAAGGGCCAGCTCCATGAGTGAGTGAGTGAATTTGCTATAAATTTGAAACCTGTTGCTTAAGGGAAGAGATACAGGACAATGGCGAACAGGATTCTGGGAAGAAAATTTGGAAAAGGAAATTACATAATGAGCAGGTTCATAATTTGTACTGCTAGAAAATAATTTTGGACAATTTGAAATCAAGTGGGATGAAATGGGTGACGCGTGGTACATATTAAAAATTCGTGCTGAGCTTTTTCGGAAAATCTGTGCATCAGAGAATCTTAGGCATAAATGTGGTACTAATATCAAAGACATTATGTGGAAGGATGTGGGATGGACTACTTTTTTTCGGGAAAGAGACCAGTGGCGGGCTTTTGTGAACACAGTAATGAAACTTAGGATCCAATAAAAGTAGGGCTTTTGTAGACAAATTGTTTAATTCCAAAATAACTCCATACGGTGAGCTGTATTATTTCTCTGGCCCCTTATTCTCTTGTGACTTTATATGATCGTGTTGCATGACCATGTCCCGATGGCTAATAGCCCTCACTTTCCACTCATCTGTAACACAAGAACGCTGCTTGATTGATGCATAGGCTATATGATACGTGTTCTGGGGTATAACGCCGTGAAGTCCTTCGAAAGTCAACTGACGTTTCTGAGGAACATGTCTCCTCCAGTTTTAGGGTTGAACAATAAAGCAGACAACAAATCAATAGGAAGCAGATAGCAAGTTATTTCAAGATGGTTTCTTCCTTGGTTTGTTCTTCAACCTTGAAGATGGAGGCGACATGTTCTCTTCCAAAAGGTTGAATTTCAACGGACAGCACTTCGTTATTGACAGATATCCATACACTCGACACTGTGAAGTAAAAAAAAGTAAAGGTATCCCTGTAACAGGCCGTGAAGGTCCATAGGGTTGTGAGACGTTGAGGGTCCCACATTATCTAGACAATCGGCTCACAGATGGCGGTAAGGTAATCAGCCTTACGCGCCGGCCGCGCTTTGCTCCTCAGGAAAATTATTTAATTAATTCCTGGTACTCATTTCTGTTAGAGGCTGAGTCGACCGCAGGGCCATAGTGCGGCCGGAAGCATTAGGTCAATCGAAAAAGAATCCAATGGCCTCATCGGAATTTGGTCCCGCGACCTTCCGACTGTGTAATAGATATTTAACAAATTAAAGTGAATTGAAAATTCTCTATATGATAAATTAATCATCACGACATGAAGACATGGAGGTGTACTTCCCTGTAATATTGTATTGTATTGTGTTGCCTTGATGTTTCACCTTACATATTTCCCTTTTAAATGCAACAAGTATAAAAGCAGAGTGACGTACACTCGCATAGAGCAGCTGCTTTGGAACATACGTAATAATGGGGCACATAAAGATGACAGATATGAACACAACACCGATATTCGGAGGGCTAAACAAAAGAACACAAAAAACATGGACGCCGCAAGAAGGTGTCGCAGGAAAATATAAAGAGTGGTGTAAGATTTGAGGTTTTCACGGCGGTGACTATGAATAAAGTGATGTTAACTGACGTTTCGGAGGAACGTATCGTTTCCATCTTCAGAATGTATTTTGACGTCGTTTAACACAATATCTACACGGCGTCACATCCCAGATGACTTCTTTCTTGATAAAGAGTGACGTTCTCAAGCAAATGTATTTTAATGAATGAACGGGGAAAACGGAATAATATTGTAATATTTTAACTCAAGAACTAATGCAGTGTAGCAATTTCGACACATGAATAATTGTTTGGTGATGGCGAAGTCAGGCCGAAACATGTAGCAGTTTAATTGTAATTTTAATATTATTTTAATTAAGGAGAAATTTTAAGGAAAGTTACATTAAAGACGAAAGTGAATAAATTGATTCTTCGGTTCTAAATGAAGGCGAGTGGTCAGTTTCACGCCCCGGACATTTGAATTCCAGGGAACGAATCCCGGTACGAATAGCAGAGGAGCGTGCAGTTGAAAATGCCTCCGTATATAAATAAAGAATAAAAGGAAAATATAAAACCTGAAAAATGCGTCTTTAAATGAATATTCTAGTTCCATGAACACCTATTTTTATATTTTAAAAATATAAAGCAATGTAACGTCCTCGCCGCCCCCGTTGCAGTGAATTCGCAGGAACGCCTGTGGAGGCGCCACTTGATGGCTTGCACATATTCTTACCATAGAGTCTGATAATAGATGGAGAGACGCGTAATATTATAAATTAATTAACGCTTACAGGTGACAAGAGGTAAAAAGAAAACTGTTAAAGTGATAAAGGAAATGAAGGCCGGAGGTGAAGGGCGAAGAAAGGAATTCAGTTTTGGTACCCTGAATTTCGGTGGGATTTCCCCTACTTCACTGTTAAAACATTACCTGCAGATTTGTTTACTTACTTAGTCATAGTCGACTTATTGATTCTTGAAATCACAGTGATTATTATATGCACTACATGCTTGATCATTATCAAGCTTTGAACGTTGCTTATATAGCGAATTTAGTGTTTACTGTAACTCCAGAATAATAGCATTAATCGACTGGTTTTATAGTGGAAAGGTAATGTGTTTTCTATCACGTAGAAACAATTTATAAATATTTATATGAATTTCAGGCTTCAGAGAGTTTAAGTTTTAACTTTTCTCACACACTAACTCCTCACAACCAATATATGCACGGCAAAAAAGTAAAATTAGTACTTACTCCACATAGGAAGGATGGAACCTGCTTCTCCGCCATATTCAGATGGCAGCACTTTCGCAGGCACGTGATCATGAAGGTTACCTAGTCCACCCCTGTGCACATGGATCTGAAAAAAAATCGATCTCTGGGGCACACAATGCATTTTATTCAGTGGGAACCTGATACTTCTTGCCAAGGGGTGAAGCATCCGGGGGCTCAAGACGAAAACTCATCACCATATAGTACCGTGATCAAGAAGGGTGGAGCAGTACCTCCAGTCCTCCTGCTCTTCATGGCATCACAGTAAATTAATTTAGCACAGGAACTAATTTCTTGGATAGCTGATAGTCACATAGCTGCCCAAGATATATCATACCGTTTATCTAGAAAATCGGGATTAACCGCCGTGGGGATCCGTTGCGCTGACCACATGATACCCTCTATCCGCAAAAGTTGGCACTAACTTCGCCGACAGGCCGCGCCACAGCTAAAGCGGTTAGTCGCTGGCTTCTCACCGCAGGGGCCCGGGTTCCATCCCGGGTCTGGTCAAGTTGGATTTGTTATGGACAAAGTGGCGTTGGGGCGGGTTTTCTCCGAGTACTTCGGTTCCCCTGCCAATCTTCATTCCACCAAATGCTCTATCATCATAATCATCCGGGGCAGGCTACAATAGGCTAATCATTGGCCGCCGTGCCGAGTGGACCCAGTTGGACTCCATCCCCCACTAAGCATACTTCGCCGACAAGCGGCGGTCGCTCGGTCGGTGTATTTCGCTTGCGGACCACAGGTCACGGAGTTTATTTCCTTATAGAACATAGAAATTCATTACAGGAGCCCATCATCGAAATTAGCTCTCGAATATATAGTACTTGAGCTTCGCATTCCAGGTCAAAACTTCAAACGTCGAATCGGAAACCTGGTTATCCTGATCGAGGTCTTTAGTTAAGAGTTTCTGAGTCTCTCCAAGCATAAACAGGAACAGTAACTGAATCTAGCCATTGTCGTCTCCTTCCACAGTACTTCCAATTCACTATTCAGTAATCATTGTGTCATTCGAAGCTGAGTATAGGATTTGAGGTTCTTACAGCGGTGATTATGATGAGTTCTGTCTTCCGGGATATAGTGCCGTGTAGGATTTGAGGTTCTCACAGCGGTGATTATGAAGGGTTCTGTCTTGTGGGATATGACGTCATGTAATCGGTTGGAAGTCTACAGAAAGTTGACTTTCAACGGACTACATGTGGGTATATCCCAGAAGACAGAACTCTTTACAAGAATCCTTTTTCTCCCAAATGGTGTGTCAGAGAAAACTGGTAAATACAATGAATGGTGCTTCTAAAAAGTAACTACTTCTGTTTCTACCCCAGTAAAGAGAATGAAACCCGCCGTCCCCCAGGGAAAGCACAGGTACTACAAACTTTATGAGAAATCTCTTATGTTTTTAAGATTTCTTTTGCAAACAACTCAAGTTGACTTGATACTGTTGTATTGTGGGTTTGTTGCTGTGTGCTGTGAAACCAAAACCCACTTCATGTTTTAGCTGAAGTATAATAACTTGACATGCGTGTTATTTAGAACCAGTTTAAAAAGTAGTTAAGTGATGTAAACACAAAAATGCTCGTTTCAAGAAAAAAATGCGGGGACAATTGCTAATGTCGTACGTGCATTATTCGAGGCCAAATCAGTTTCTTTGTCCATTATGCTATGTGATTCTTGTTACACACGAAGAGACCTCAGCGCTCAAGGAAATCCATGTAAGCAATATCAGTGATGCTTAGGACAAAACTTTCACTAAGGGAAACCCCACGTTTGCGCCTGTGTTAGTTCACATGTAAATTCAATACAGACAGCTACTTGCACTTTCACGCCTGTGGAAGCCCCAACGATCAAGTGTAACGCCCTTGCTAGGATACGGGAAACAAAGGCTATTTACAGTCCGACCACGATTCGCCATTCCCTTGTATCATGACTCACCTCTGGCCCGCATGAAGCAGCACTGGTCGACAATCACGTGTTCTGCTGACGCATCGCCAGCCAGGCATATTCTGTTTCGTGATTTATGTTTCACATCTACAGTATTCCTGACTGTATATTCACTTTTCGGCTATTGGAGTTAAAATGGAAGTCTGACAGCAGTTTTATATTATTATATCTGAATTTAGGTCGTTACGTCACACGTAGGCCGGGATAGGAAGAATTAAGTCTCGGTTCCACTGTAATGAAGATTGTTATGCATGGTCGCGTTAGTATCCGAACTATACGTCATCCCACCATGTTTTTTTTCTAAACTGTGCTTCATAGAACAAACGTTAAAATACAAAGAAAATTATGTTCTTATTGGAGAGACAACGCCGAAAAAAAAAATTTTAATTTTGCTGTTAGATGGAAGGGTTCGAGTCCAGGCCAACTTGGCTCATCGTTTTTTCCTCAGCTAGAAACGAAATGGGCTTGTGACTGCAGTGAGTACATGACCACAACAACGAAAGTGTTCTGAAGGTCACAAAATTGATGCGAGTCCAAGAAGCTAGAGCCATTCAATGTAAGTAAGCACCGCGACCAACAAAAATATTACCTCAAATTGCAGATCAGATCATTCTGCACTAGCGAGTTAGTCTGTATCCTTCTGTCTGGACGTCACACCTTTATCTGAGAAGCAACTGTATTACTGCTGCTGCTGCTATTCCAAATGCTAATGCTACTGAAGCTGATGCCACTAGTTCTGGTGCTAGTGCCATTGATACTGCTGCTAGTTCTTCTTTTAGTTGTAGTGCTAACTCTACCGATAATGCTGCTAATTCTTGTGCTAGTGCTACTTTTACCGCTGCTAGTTCTCGTTCTAGTGTTAGTGCCACTGGTACAGCTGTTACTTCTTGTTCCAGTCCTGATGCTAGCGCTTCTGATACCGTTGCTAGTTCTTGTTCCAATTTTAGTGCTAGTGCTTCTGATACTGTTGCTGGTTTCTGTTCTAGTGTTGGTGCTACTGATACCGCTGCTAGTTTTGGTTCTAGTGTTAGTGCTACTGATACTGCTGCTAGTTCTCGTTCCAGTCCTAGTGCTAGCGCTTCTGATACTGTTGCTAGTTCTTGTTCCAATTTTAGTGCTAGTGCTTCTGATACTGTTGCTGGTTTCTGTTCTAGTGTTGGTGCTACTGATACCGCTGCTAGTTTTGGTTCTAGTGTTAGTGCTACTGATACTGCTGCTAGTTCTCGTTCCAGTCCTAGTGCTAGCGCTTCTGATACCGTTGCTAGTTCTTGTTCCAATTTTAGTGCTAGTGCTTCTGATACTGTTGCTGGTTTCTGTTCTAGTGTTGGTGCTACTGATACCGCTGCTAGTTTTGGTTCTAGTGTTAGTGCTACTGATACTGCTGCTAGTTCTTGTTCCAGTCCTAGTGCTAGCGCTTCTGATACTGTTGCTAGTTTTTGTTCTAGCGCTGTTAGTACTCCTACTGGAAATGGTAGTGCTAATGCTTATGCTGCTGCTACTCTTGCTAATCTTAGTGTTAATGCTACGGACACTGGTTGCACTGCTGTTGCTACTACTACAAATGCTACTACTGCAAGCACAAACGCTACTGCACAAACTACCACTATTAAAATACTACAACTACTGCTACTATTATTAATAGTAAAGGCAGATAAGAGGATTCTGTATCATTCGTGGATTGGAGTCCAAGCGACTTCCTTCTCCAGTCAATATCCCCTGTGAGGAAGGGGATGTTAAAGTAACAGCAATAAATACAGTTACAATTGCTAAGCAGATGATGATTTAAAATAGGATATTATGTTGCAGTCCTCGTTGGTGTCTCCACCTTATCGTGATGAGGGGGTTTGAGTATGCCAAGGACCCTGAGAGCTATACCAGCGGTAGCATAGCTACTGGCAGGGCCTCCCTTGCTGGACAGGACAAAGGGTAGGCATCAGACGAAGAGAGACACCAAAAACTGATGCCGGAAGCAGCGTCATCAGCAGCGACTTGAAGCACAGAGCAAATGATGCTCGAGATGGTTCAAGTTCGTATAGCAACAGGCGTGACCATAGTGGTTTGAACGGCTGTTGTACTGCGATGTGAAAAGCAAATGGAAAAACTACCACATTATCACTTTTCCTGGATAGTCTCTTTCCAAAAACAGAAGGTCGAATTAAGTGGAGGAACTGTTTTGGAAGAGACTGTGGACCTGTCATCTGACAGATTACTGATGAATGAATGAGTTATGTTGCAGTATGAAATAAGGCAGTGTGGTCATGAAAATTATTGCCGAACGTCGCATCTGAAACTTCTGGAAAAGTCGATTTTCTCTCGTAAAAAGGAACGCGAATGATAACCATGAAGCAACCTGGAATAGTACATAGGTCATAAACAAATAAATTACCTGTATTTTTTCTATTAAGAAATCCAAAAGAACTATGATATTCTGCATTTAATAGACGATCCATAACTTTTGTCATATATTTTTTTAATAAAAGCCACAGGAACGAAATAGTGTAGCTTTTTATGCAGCTATCTTAGGTAGTGACAAGAAGTTTTCCTCAAAATTCAGAGCAGATTTTTACAACTCCACGGTGTTATAAAATAACGGAACACATAAAGAAAAATGGGTTAAAGCATAAGGGATGCCAGCTTACCTTTTTGAACAGCTTTGGTTTGAAAACTAATCTGACAATGCTGATAACTGCACTGATATAGACAGGAGCATTTATCAGATGAATGGACCTTAGTCGCGTCGGGAAACTGTCCTGAAATGAATAAACAGTACGTCTAAATATATATATATTGTCACGCGTAGGGGTTTCTTTTTTTGCGTAACTTATAAGACGGATTTTGGATTGGATAAATAGACTTATTGCTCCTTTACATTCACAACTTTGGACTACAGGCAATACAGCGTTATCGCTGTACTATACACCTTACAGTTCACCATTACTCACACACACTAGCGTTCTCAACCTTCAGTAGTCGTTTCCTCGCAACGGATTTATAACAATCTCACTGTCACTTCAGATTACACGTGAAGTTTTCTTTTTACAGCCTAATTCCTTTCTTGCCATTATTCGGCAGCTGCCAAATCCGAAGACTCAACTCAATTCTAAGCTCATGTCCCAGCCGGCTGGCGTCCCGAAACTCGCCTGCTGTCGAACACTTCCTTACAACCACGTTGCTCGGACCATGCAGAAAACACAGCTTCAAATGTTAAGAAGGGGTGTTGAGAGGCCCGTTGCCCAGAAATGGACATCCTATTATTTGCGCTCGTATGCTTGCGCTGGAATGTGTTTACCGAGTCATTGCCTAGCAATCAGTCTATGCGCCACAATATAAATTAATCTTATTCATTCATAAGAATAGTGAGTTTAAATTATTTCTGAGGCCGAGAAATTGAGACAAACATTGAAAACATTAATGTTTGTCTTAACTATTGCAGATGTTTTCTACGCGTTCTCCGCAGCATTGAAATTTTCCAATGTGCACACCGGTCCGCGATTTATACACGGTTTTCAACCTTCCGTATGTGTACGATTATATAACAGAATTGTGAAGGCAACGAGAAGTCATAAAAATCATGAAAATGGAACACGTTGACAGCATAGGACAAGGTGAAGCTAAACATAGACAGTACATAAGAGGCTTAAATTTGGCTGCGGTCAAGCTTACGACCGTTCAAGTGACCAAGCTGCCGTTGTAGCATAAGATACGTAAGATAGGCATGATCTGCTTTGCAAAGCCTGGACTGAGAGATGACTTGTACGTGTATATAGAGCACAAGAAAGAATTTTCAGTAACATGCAATATGTGTGATACGTACACTTGGAGATAGGTCAAGCATATTCATAAGAGAGAAAAATCCATCCTCTCGTTAGAGAGGATGCTGACCGTGCCATAACTCAAGCGGTTAGTCGCTGGCTTCCCACCGCGGCGGCCCGGGTTCGATCCCGAGTCTGGTCAAGTGGGATTAGTGGTGGACAAAGTGGCGCTGGGGCAGGTTTTCTCCGAGTACTTCGGTTTCCCTTGCCAATCTTCATTTCACAAATTGATCCACAATCACCCTCACCTATTATCTGGTACAATCGGCCAAAAGCGGCCGCAGTACAAGGGACTTAGTCCCACCCTACCAGCAATATAAAAAAATACATATAATAGAGAGGATGCTATATATGGACTAATACCACAAAGGTTCAGTCGAAAAAAAAATCCATTGTCGTTATCCTCAATAGGCGCCAAGACGAACTGATTGGTGTTAAACCGCCAGTCTTGAAGCAATTCTGACTCTTATTCTGACAGTCAGTCAGTGGAGAATTGTAACTGAGGCTACCCAGAGCAAGGGGAATATCTGTCGTTGAGAGCCGTTACCAGGCAACGATTTGTGAAGACACAGCAGGCTGAAAAGACTTAAGTGTGTGCTCTAGTGAACTGTAAAGTGTGTGAATTAGTGAAACGGTTATAATTACTTGCAGTAACGGATCTGTAAGAGTTCAGTAAATCCAATTACCGATCAAAATCCCATCTATAGTCACTTAGTCACGTGACAATATCATAAATGTACGTACATATTATATATGACTG